GTACCAGTTTATATAGAGGCAATCCTGTGACAATTAAATGGTTCAAAAATTCAATTGTGTAATTGTTGTGCTCCCGAAAATCATCCGAATTTATTTTACTAACAATAAAGCATAAATTTTCTGCATCGATAAAAAGCAATCATCATTTTTAGTATTTCGCGAGAAATTGGCATATGGGCATTCCCATGGTGGCGCACGTGACAGTCGTACGATTTCAATGTGATACAAAAAAGGAATACCATTTGTTTTCTTTAACTTTTTTGGGCCATTGTATAACACGTAATTAGCTCTATATTTAACCCAAAAATTAAATCAATCGAACTGCTTGGTCGTGAAATATAAGCATTTAAATAGAGGTTCGTTACGTGACAAAAAATGGAAGTTGATTTTTTCTTTTCTTACAAAATCGCAAAACTCTGCGAATTGTGGATGGCCATTTTGATTAAACTTATTTTGATATGATTTGGAGCAATTCTAGTTGTTTTTAGAGTTTTTTGAATTAATGCAAATTGTTTCAATTCTCTTTTACAACACCAAGTGTGAAACGTGACGTGACGTGGCGTCACGTGACATAAATTTTCATCGTTATATTTTTGTTAATATTACTTTTAAATGAATATTCAACGCAAATAAAACATGTATTTTATGTAGAATATACTTTATATTTTGACTTCAGCGCCAATTCAGGGTCAATTTATTAGAAATCTATGATTTATTATGTTTCAACCACATGCGCCAAATTCGAACCAAATCGGACCATAAATACGGTTTTTCGAAATATCTCGACCTTGGCACCACCTAGGAAGACCAATTTATGCAAACATGATTCTTCTTACATAGCCAGTATATATTTTAAAAAGCAGACAAATCAGCCCGTAAATACGTTAGATATAAAACTTTTATTTTTTTTGCCGTGGTGGACCTTCCGCTGGAAACACCCATATCCTATTACCAAGTGATTTGAGAAATTCCATTTCATGTGGGGGTTCTCATATTACGCGCTTAAGTCAAATGAAGAAATGGGGAATATCCACACCACGAATGTTTAACACAATTTTCAATTAGGGTGGCACGGTCACCATTGGACATTATGTACATACATATATCGATAATTCGAAAAATTTTCAAAATTTTATAAATTTAGATTATTCGACACATCTCAATTAGTCCATAAATTTCGACAATTTAATACGTATGTTAGCTCAATGAATTTCAAAAACACTAAATTCCGATAACCGATAACTCTAAAAGCGTCGCTAACTATCGATAAATTTAGATAACTGTGCGTTTCCAGAACTGGATAAATTTCGATTACTCAAACATATCTCGACATATAGATAACTCGATTTTGATAGCTCCATAAATTTCCATATCTATGGAAAATTTCGATAACTTGATACACTCTGGTAACTCGATTAAATTCTATAAATAGTGATAACTTGATAAATTCATATTATTCTAGAAATTTCGATAACGGGATATAGATCCGCAACTCGATAAATTTCGTTAACTCGATACACTTTTATAGTTCTATAAATTTTGAAACTCGAAAACTATCAGTACATTTCGACAAATAAGCTTCTGCATCTCGATAAATTTCGATAACTCAATAAACATTGATCAATTTCAATAACACGATACATTTCGAAAACTTAGTGAACATGGATGATACAATAAATTTCGATAACTATAAACTTCGCCGACAAGAAATTTGATAACATTCGATAACTAAATTTCTGATGACTGGATATATGTATTTCGATTCTTATTGTAAAATTTCAATGCATTTTCTTACCATTTCACTTACCATAATTCTTGTGTATACATATTATGTATGTATTCTCATTGTTTTTATTTTCATCATTTGTTTCTTCATATTCATATTTATCTTTATTACAAAATTTCATTTCAAAGCTAAGCAAAATGGGATAACAACTCAAATTGAACAGGTTCCAACAACAACTATACAGAAATACGGAAATTTTGAAAATACGATTTTGGCTGTAATTTTCAACCAATGGTTTCAACATCGGACAAAATTTGTGTTAGCGTATTAATATATACATAGATTACGATGTTTAAACTTTCCTGCTTCCTTGACGTCCTGTCGCGCTGATTACCGTAAAACTTAAATCTACTCGAGGATATTTATTCATTTATTCTTATCATTCTCACTGACACTGGCTATGATATCCTACAAAGGATACCGCTCAACATTCCGGTCAGATATTTCCGGCACACTGATTTATTTAAGTTAACTTACAGCTTGTTCACACTATGCCATAAATGCACCGAAACGGCAAGCACTCAGTGAAAGACATTTCTCTTTTTGTTAGATATACATACATAGTTCTGCTGTTTGACATGGGCAATAAGAATATTTGTACTCAGTGACTCATACAAAAAAATTTGCCAAGAAAGTTGGCTTCCTACTGCCGATGTTTTGCATCGATACGATGAGAAAATCGAGAACTTCCAACCCTTCTCTGCCATTCCCCAGCTTTGGTTAAACTGGGACGTCGATGTCTACATTCACCACCATCTCTAAGACATCTGTTCAAGAATCTCTCCATAGAAAAATCGTCACGTGACCTGCGTATGCAAAGACCTTAGCAGTATCCGACTATTTAAAGTCTGAAATTGACTATCCAGAAAGAACCACGAAATTTTCCTCGATCTAATCAAAGTAACAAAGTAACGCTCTATACCAAATTTTCGAGGTATCTGGTAACACTATAGACTTAGTTGGTCTATCCATGTGAGGTCACTTTGCGACCTTTCAACTTAACCTAACCTAACATACCGCAGTCATTATCATCACCTTCTGAAAAACGAACCAATTTGATAGAAAAGTTAAAAAAAAATTTTAACTGTTAAAATACTTGTATAAATACTTCTACAAGAGCGGCTCATAAAAAAGAGTATTGAAAACTTGAGTTTTATTTTTCAGTTCAACTTTTTCTCAATGAATACTTAGTGGCACTTTTCTAGTTTAATTGTACGAAGAAATTGTTTAATGTTAATTTTGCAATGTTTTCAATTCCATAAAATTGGTTTAGGTACCTTTTACTTAGACACGTTTCCTCACGTTGCTCATACGCCATGCCGTATTGCATACGAAAAAACTAAAACAAAAGTAAAGCAAAATGTTGTGCGAGTGTAACAATTCGTGCATGAATCACGCTTGTTATATTTTTAATGCCATTCGATGTGTTTGTTGTTGTGAAAAACAGCATGCTTTTTATACTAAACACGCTGTACACAAATACACACATACAGTTGTACGTATGTATGATATTTGTTTAATTCAAATATATTTAGAAATAAATACTCACAATGTATATGCGAGGATTTTGCCGATTTTTCGACTTGCTGTCTCGCCACTTTTCTGCTTTTTATATTTGAAATACACAATTTAAAGAAAAATTAAACTGAACATTGTTTTTTTATTTCGTTTTTATTTGAAATTTAAACGTATTACTTAATTTTTTTTTTGCATTTTTATTGCCAATTGGCGCATTGTCATCATCAATTTCTATGGGTGGGTGGGTGTAGTGATTGCTTGCGCTGCTTATGAGCAATGAGTTGGAAGAGCATGGTCGCCAGCAAAGTCTTATTTAATTATGAATTATTTGTCTTGGTTTCGTCTATTTAGCAGCATAGTCAGCTATTTACTTTAGATAAAATTTATGTTTGAAAACTTAAGCAGGAGAGCTCTCGCCAGTGAATAAATCTATTGTATTAGGAGAAGTTGGACGCGTTTTAAAGTATTGTTGATCTAAGTGAAAAACTAAGAAAATTTGAGAATTAAGCTTTTTTCTGTTCTCTGAAATTGTAGTTTTTTAATTTCTAATTGAATGTAAATCTAAATTATAGTTAGTGGCGCTGCATTGCTTTACATTAGGATGGAGCGTTAGTGTTTCCACCTTTTGCTGTTAGGCCCTAAAAAAAAATTTTGTATTTTGACCTGAGAGAAAAGCAAGTCCTTTTAGGATGATTCTGCAATCGCCATTTTACACCACTTTCTCAGATTTTTCACTTAAACTCGACTTAACCCGAATTTTTATAAATACTAGTTTTATTATAGTAGAGATTGCATATTAATGCACTAATGTTTTCAATTTAATATTAAATAAATATAAAAATGGAATTGATAAAACCAAGTTTTTCTGAAAGTCTGGATTGTATACAGAAAATTAATTTCTCAATTTTCCCAGGTTGGCGATTTTAAGCTTTTTTTTATTTTTTCAAACATTGAAACCATCAAAGGGGCTTTAGTTGGCGAGGACTCTGAATCTGCAGCTTATTAACACCAAGAAGCCTTTTTTTAACAAAATTACCGCGACTGCTGGGTGCACTTTGGTGTAAATAAACTTGAAGAAACATTGTTTAGAAACATTGTTGAGAAACGTTTTTTTGCATTGTTCCTTCATATTCCTTCCATGGTTTTTACATTAAAGCGCAGCCTAGCGACCATTTTTGTTAAAAATAAATTGCAATCGCAGATTCTTCTGACCCCAAGACCCAAATAAAGGGCTTTTGAATGTAAAAATATTTGCAATTTAATCAGTTGTTTTAAATGTTGTTCTGCGACCACCAACATCAAATTGAAAAAAAACGCTTAAATTTGCCAAGCTGAGAAAACAGAGAAATTACTTTTCTATATACTACAATCCAAAAAAATTTAAAATGTTGTACAGTGTTATTAATCGATACAGCTCTGAAATTTGTGCACAACATACGAGAAGACGTGGCGGTCACTTCTGCATACTTAACTCAATTATTTTCTGATTATGACACTCCTGCTGCAAAGGTGCGATATGCATTTAAATTATTTCACATCAGTGCCTTTACAAATGCAGTAGTTAGTATACACTTCAATTCTTTTTGTTTCTGCTCGATTAAAGAAAAACGATTATTTTATAAAGCTTTGAAATTTCACAAATCGCCTCATTAATAATTACCAAAAATATATTTGCTCTAAATTCTTTACAGCACAGCTCGCATCAATACGTACTATAACCACAAATCGGACAATGGAAATCGGTAAAGAGTTGCACATTGTTTGCAAAGTACAAGGACGGCCACCGCCCAAGGTCACCTGGTTCAAGGATGGCAAATCGATTAATCGTAATCGTAAATTGTACAAATTTCGGCATTTCAAGTGAGTTGAAAAATTAGTCTAATCTATTTGCAAGCATCTCGCTTTGCCTACCTTTCGATACTACATATATACATATGTATGTACATATTTATTATGTTTTCATGTTTTTATTTATCATCAATATTTTCACACATTGGAATCATTTATTTACTCTCACTTTTAAATACTTAGAAAGCGTTCTGAACTGATCATACGTTCGTTTAACATTTCCGATACGGGGCGCTATGAGTGTCGCGCTAAAAATAAAATCAATCAGGAGCCAGATCGACGCACCATTTTAATTAAAGCGGATCCAGGTAAGTAGCCGTAGCAAGAATTGTGCTTACATACATACATGCATATGTGCATATACTTTTTTTGTAAATATAAATGCATATGCATAGTGGTAACGAAAGTACAAATGTATAATTATCATTAGTATTTATGCTTTGCTTGTACATATGTATGTATGTATGTAAGTACCTTTATTAAAAAAATTCTTGTCTTTTCTCCGTTTCAGTGTTTTACTTTAAATATTCGTATGCGCTTAATTTTGACACAAATTATTATGCTCCAATTAATTTGTAATTTATCGCAACATTTCCCTTTTTACACTACATACTTAGTATTATTGCTTATGTAGCGAATGAGGATTTCCACCGATGTGCATAAGTTTAATCATGCACATGCATATATACGTGCATATGTGTAAACATGTATAGGTGCTTAAAATGAGCGATGAAATAAGATTAGATGATTAGAACCTACAAATAAAAGGCATTAGAACTCTAGTTTTTCGAATTAAAATGCATATAAATGCCATTTAAAAGGAAATTATGGAAAGGAAAGAGATGTATATACCTACACACATTTGTATGGAGTTCAAAAAGATTCAATTGAAAAGAGAAAAAAGGAAAATTAAATGCAATTATTTGTATCACATAATATGGTTCATTATCCAATCAAAAAAATCTGTTTGAAAGATGAAAATTTTTGGTCAATATTTTAGGCTCGCCCAAGTCCATCAAAGTTCAATGTGCTCAAAAAATAAAAATTAATAAATAAATCAATTAACACATTTTATTACTAAAATTGCAATTATCTTCGAAAGTATTAGTCCTACATAATTTGGTATATGGACCATTTTTGTAGAAAATCGAAATAAGCAAAAAAAAAAATGTTTTTACCATTTGAATTTTGATGGACTTGGCCGAGCCTAAGGATATTGACCAACAATTTTAATCTTGCACACAGATTTTTTTTAGAGCATAATGGGCCATATTTTTGCTATTACTAATCAAAATTCTAAAAAAAACGGATTTCCGGACCACGCTAATGTACATACATATGTGCATTAGGGTGCCTCACCAAACAAGTCGCGATTTTTCCACCAAACTTATAAAATGTATTATATTTAAAGACTTCTGCCAATATAATTGACCAAAATATTAAGTTTAAGTGCGCTGGGCCGATTTAAAAAATCTCTAAAATCGAGAAAAAAATAGTTTTTATAATATTTTTTGCAAAAAATCACTTCAGATGATAAAAGCGTTTAAGCTTAAATGTTCTGCATAAAAATGTTTAAACACTTTATTAACCGATTCGAAATACCCATCTTATGTAAATCTTAATATTTTCGGAAATATTAATGCGAAACTCTTAAAATATAATAAATTAGTAATTTCGATGGAAAAATCTCAATTTTTTTGTATATAGAGTAATCCACCCTAATGTACATATATACATGCATTTGTATGTATTTGTATAGATATCTGCTTGAGAGCTTGTATTGATGAAAGCAGCAATTTCGCTTTTTTTGATAAAAAAGGTGGTTAATTAGTATGCTTCTGACATTTAAGGTCATTATTTAAAAAAAATTTAAATGAGGTACTCAATGACAGATGCTTTCAATATATTTTTCCCATAATAACATCGATAACTAGGATAAAAATAAATCAGTAATATCGAAAAGTACACCTCTTCTCATATCGAAGTTATTACTATTGGATACAGCAAAGCCAAACTTATTACCTGTCCATCAAAAAGCTCATGAATCTAGGCAAGGAGATCCTTCGAACTGAATCTTTCAGACAATATCGGCTGTTGTTTCTATGAGCTGGACGAAAAAACGCCAGAACACATCCTTATGAAGCGTAAGATTGGTTTTATTCCTACACCGGGTAGTTCCGTGACAGAGCTGGAAAAGGTGCCTACCTAGAAAGCCCGCTCTGCACTTAGCTAAAGCTAGGCAGCTACAGAAGAACTTCTCAACTGTTTCTTCTTCTTCCTCATCTTCTACAATACTCATGGGAGAATATTCCTAATCTCGAATCGTGCCTACTAAATAACCAATGACCGGTTACACAAGCCATGGCCATCGAAATGTTCTCTCTTGAGCAATTCTTAGATTTTTTTTATCTACCAATTTGCGGGCATAGTAGCCTAGTACCAGTGCCCTCGTCTAACTATGACCTATTGGCCTCTTGAATGATGTTATATCTTATCCTTGGCTTGCAGGTTGCCATCAGTATCCCAATCTTACCACTGCTTTCGGACAGTGGAAGATTGGTACCTTTCGTGGTTAGCTCATCGGCTCTGCAATTTCCTTCAATATCTCGACATATGTCCCGGGACACATATAAGGCTGACCTTGAAGACGGTTCTAATATCATTTAGAGATGCAAGGCACTCCTGTGCAAACTTTGATCTTAGCATTACCGCGTTCATCGATTTGATGGCCGTCTGGCTAACCGAGAAGATGTTAATCGTAGTCTTCGTTACGGCATGTGTATTAAGGTACACAGCCACCTCTTTTATAGCAAGAACTTCTGCCTGACAAACGCTGCAGTGGTCCGGAATTCGAGCGAATAATTCAAGTCTTAATCCGTTAGAAAAAACTTCATAGCTAAGCCTATCTTGGATCCATCCGTGTAAAAATTTACTTCCCCCCTCTCCCGGTCTTTGTGTTTGCCGCTCTCTTCTTGACGGGATGTTCATCTTAAAGAGGCTGTCGAAGGTGGGTTCAGGCATGAAGTAGTCGATATTTTGGTTATAACTAACTTCCCATAGTATGGAGCATAGTAGAGGGGCGATGATCTTTCCATTTCATGCACATAGACTGCTATTATGATCTTAGTCCGATGTATGGAAGTACTAGAAGAGGAAGAGTAAGGCATACTAAAAAGTATACCAAAGATAAACCATGAAATTGTTGACGTGCTTACTTATCGATTATACAAGGCCAACTGGGAAAATCGTTACGATTACATGTATCTCCCATAGCACCGATTGTTCAGATATGAGTTTTTGTTAGATAACTCTTCCATATAAGTAGTTAAAAATTTAGTCTACCAAACAACTAATAAAAAAATGCGAATGTTTACGAAAGGTATGCCGCCTTCGGCACTGTCCTTAATTGTTTCTCTTTATTAAATACATATACTATATAAAATAATCTAATATATGTAAATTTACACATTTCAGAGCCACGTTATCCAACAAGTTTAACGGGCGGAACTGGCAATGTTTGTCCCGATGATGCTGCTGAATTTTGTCTAAATGGTGGCACTTGTAATTTCTTTTCGGAAATCGGCTCGTATTCTTGCATGTAAGTATGATAACAAACAAAATAAATAAAAAAATAAAAAATATGAAAAATTAAGAAACGAGAAATCTATTGTAATGGACTTAATAAACTTGTATTAAAAATCACTGGAAGATGGCCATGCGAAAAAGTCAATTCAAGTTTTGCTGCATTGGAAATTTAAAAACTTAAGCGATTTCGAGAAATTAATTGCAACAAATTTCTAATCTTATACTAGGGATTAGATTTTTGTCAAAAATTAAGATTTTATGGGCTAAAATTTATTTTTTTCCTGAATATACAGACTACTGTTCTCGACGGTAGCCACTGTAACATAACGCATAGATACAAGTGAAACTCGATAACCCGTTATTCCAGGAACCACACGTCATCTTAATGGACTGTACTTTATTACGAATTATCGCGATTTTCGACTTATCGTGCTTACGAGTTATCGAGATTCCATTGTACGTATAACTTTCAAAATTTTAAGTGAATACTGGAGCACGTACGCCTTTATACCAGTTAGGCCACACGCTTCACAGTGGAATAAATAATGAGATGCCAGGGATGGACCATTCAGCTCACCAGCTTTTAGTTCCATATTTATAAAAGAGGAAAAATTTCTCAAGTGGGACCCTCAAAATTAAAAAGGTTAATCCATCGGTTATTTTATTAACTTTAGATAGGTGTTCTGTAATATGATACTGTGCAAAATGTTTTGGCTCTAGTGAAAATAGTATGCAAGTTATATGCGATTATTTTTTATGCAGGCTTTTACTAAAAGTTACTTTATTTATTAGCTGTTGGATATAATCTCATTCCTTTTACACCAAAACCTTAAAAATTGTCTGACGATATAACAACTGTAGTAGTTTTTCAAAATTTTTATTTTTATATATACTTATTAGTAAACTTTTTCATAAACAATATATTTTTTTTTATTTCTGGGGCTCCGATTTTATTCGGGTAAAATAAATTAAGATTAGCAGGCGCTCGCTCTCAATCGGGAGAAAAAAAAATGTTGTTCATTTCTGTTTTTGTTTAAGATACAGCGATTTTTCGATCGCAGTGCATACGCTGGTATGACACTCGCTTTCGTTACGGGACAACTGACGTTCGCGACGGTCGGTTATCACTATTTACTTGCCGGTTAAACATCGTTATCAACGTTTTCGACATGATGCATATAACATATGATCGATAAAGCAGTTGTTGTATTTAACCAGAGGGTTTTCCTCTGATTAGTGCTAATCAGACATTGAACAACCGGCCCTAAATGGGAGAAATTAGCTTCGGAAGTTCTTCCTGCGGAAATTATTATGCAAATCGCTCATTCTGATTAAAAGAGCACAGGGGGCTTCTAAGAGCTCTAGATCTTTTATAAAGGATGCGTTTTTTTAACTGATAGAACTTCCGATAGGGATAAATGTTATTCGCGAAAACCACTCCCTATATGTCACGCATCATGCCCGTGCTGGTATATGGCGCAGAAGCAAGGAACAATGACAACATCCGATGAGGCGGCTCTTGGAGTATTCGAGAGAAAGATTTTGCGGAAGATTTACGGGCCTTTACGCATTGGCGACGGCGAGTACCGCAGACGCTACAACGATGAGATGTATTAGCTTTACAACGATGTGGACATAGTGCAGTGTATTAAAATACAGCGACTCCGCTGGCTGGGCCATGTTGTTCGAATGGACACCGACGCTCCAGCTCTGAAAGTATTCAACTCGGAACCTGCTGGTGGTGGCAGAGGAATGCGATAGAAAGATCAAGGGGAGAACGACTTGGCTTCACTTGGCATTTCCAATTAGCGTCTGTTGGTACAGAAGAGAAGCGACTGGCGTGCTTCGTTGGACTCCGCCAAAATCGCTTAGGCAGTTACAGAGTCAAAGAAGGAGAAGAAGAAGCTGTCAGCTGTCGCATATTGATAGCCATTTTTATTAATTGTAGTTTATCATTTCGTCAAGGAAATATACACGCTTCAACAGCATTTTGAAATTAGTAAAATTTACTTTGAAAGTGAGTCATAAATTAAAAGCAGTTGAAAAAATTATTTCAAATGTAAAACTTTTTTCGATTTTTCGCTGAATGGTTTCGCTAACAAAAAAAACAGATTTTGGAGACAACAGAACAGAAGCAGCATTCATCCAGAAAAGTAACTGATAGGTGTAATTTGCATGTTGGTGGTATCGTTGGACCTATTTTCTTCAAAACTGCTACTGGAGCCCACTTTAAGGTCAATCGAATACGTTACTGAAGCATGATGAACGATTTTTGGTTTTAAAACATAGAAAACATTGATCCAGGGAAATGTGGTTGCAAAAGAGTTGAGGCTATATACAGCCCATACAGCACGTAAAACCATTGATTTGTTAAAAACTCTTTTAACCATTTCGCGGACACAAAATTTTTGGAAAACGTTTGCGGAACGACACTAGTGATATTTGGAGTTCTAGACTAGATATTTAAATTTCTGTTACAACTAGAGAAAATAAAATTTTGTCGGCTTATGCCGACGTGTCAGCGAAAGAGCTAACTGGCCTGCTATATCATGTGACTCAACACTTGATTATTTTTTGTGAGGAAGCGTTAAGCCATTTCTGGACGCTAACCAACCAGTAACTATTGGCGACCTGGAAGCCAACATTGAACTAGTTATAGCAGAAATAAGAACAGATTTGCTCGAAAGAGCCGTTAAAATCTTGACTGATAGATTGCAATTCGTCAAGAGAGCCAGAGGTGGTATACAATGAACTAACAAATAAAAGCCAGTAATTTTTAAGCAAAAAACTCGATCCAAACAAAATTAGTATGGGTCCACCCTTGAGGTATCGCCTTTCCGATGAGAAAAAAATTATCGAAATCGGTTAACGTGGTCTAAAGTTACGCGGTAACATACATACAAAAAAAAAATTACGACGTATTGATAACCTTCTCTCTTTTTGAAGTCGGTTAATAAATAGAAATAAATTCACCAATTTGTATTTTTTTTTTTTTTTTTATTTAAAGTTCTCATTCCCTTAAAAAAAACATCCATTACAATAGGCCTTCCGTGCTCGTTTCTTTATTCCTATTGTATAAAATAGCCAGAGTTTGGAAAGCCCCCTTCTCGTCAGCCTTGAGTAGAAATAGAAAATAAGCTTCTGTCACGGGTTTCAAAGAGAATGGTCTTCTTGGAAAAGCCATGCCTAAAATGGTTTATTATAAAGCGCTCCTAATTTCGCCGGCATCAAAAATACATCAGCCTCCCTTTAAAGTTAGTTAAAAAAAAAGTTTCCTGGAATAAATTTACAAATATGTATATATATTAGGGTGGGTCAAATTTTATTGACGAAAGTTTACCGACAAATAGCGTGGTGTTTTCGATTTCTATAGAGAATTCTATGAGAAAATGTAGAAGAAACTTTAAGAGCCGTTTTTACAGTGCCGAGTTAACTCTCATTCGGCAGTTAACTATAGGTTTTCAGTACAAAAATTTAAAGTTAACTGTCGAGTTTGAGTTAACCCCCTCACTGTGAAACTGGCACTATGTCGGAAATGAGTTTCTAGACTGCGCATTTTTAAAAGTCAAATTTACTTTTTTACAAAATTTTATTTTTTCGTTCTATGCCAGTTTTACGAAGTGTTCACCTATTGTTATATTAATGGATACAAGACGCCTATATTTTAGTTTATAACATTTTTAATATACCATGCGAAAATACACCCCGTATCAAAATTATAAACGCACCACACATTGAAAAGTTTTAACAATTTAATTTTTTGTTATTTACTTTTAGTTAATTTATTTTGTAAAGATATAGTTTACTCTTAACAAAAATCGCATAAATTCAAGTTTCAAACATTATGCAAGATTAAAAAAAATCAACAAACTTTGGTAAAAATTTCTAAAAAAGATTTTGAGTATACAGTTCTGTAGTTCATTCAATTTAGCCAAAGAAAATAAATAGTATCGCGAAATGGTAATTTTTTCATTTAAAAATGCGCAGGATCGAAACTGATTTCTATCTGCAGAATGAGAAAATAATAATAAATAAAAATTTACCCTCCCTAATGTATGTTTACACATACATATTTACATGTGCTCACTCAATGAACGCACTCATTTATAAGCGCCGCACAATACAGCGGTGGCATGCAACGCGTGGTTAAAAGTAGCAGTTGTGGAGCACTGCCAAGAAACAGTCACAAAGTGATCGAGTGAGTGCAAGTTGCGGTGTATAAATACGCATGGTATGATATAAACATATACACACATGCATACATATATACAAGTATGTATGTGCATACAAAGTCAAAGATTGCAGGAATCGTAGCGCATTTGGAAATAAATTGACGCGCTGAAAGACATAATTCACATTGCGCACACGCGCTCGATTGTAGACACACGTGGAAATGAGAGGGGGCGAAATGGGCACGAAAAAAAATATAACAAAACGAAAAACCGAAGTAAGGAAGGTAGTAAGTAGAGCTGGCGCGCGTTGGCAATTTGTGCAGAATTTAAAAAACAAAGTAAGAGCCAGCGCGAGCAAACTGAGACCTTCATGGAGCTGCACTTTTGGGGGACAAAAAGTAGCAGTAGGGGAAGATTTTTTAAACGACTAGTGATTTTGTTTTTATTTATTTTTTCTCCTTCATACACCCTTGCGCATGGCGCTATGTACTTTGATACTTTTGCAATATTTAACGATTCTTTTCGTTTCATAATTTTGTTGTCAAGCCACTATATAAAATGTTTTGCTCATCTTCATTTCCTTTTCTCCTGCTTTGGACACTACGAAACAATAAAAATGTCAACAGCTCATTGATTACATTCGACATCGTTCGTTTGACACATCTGTGGCAAAATTCAAAGATATTTTCGTTGACAGTTCAAAGTATGAAATGCTGAGATTTGTTGTGTGAGAACGCATGCGATTTCGTTCAGATACATACATATAGTATCTATATATATATGTGTATGTATAAACATATGCAGTCAGAAAAGCAAGCGAAAATTAAGTTTATGAGCTGCT